TGGGCCAATTCTTCAGAAGAATAATCAGACATTCTACATGCTTTAAATTCCCCCATATTCTGACATGATCTATACCAGTGTTTCTCAACCTTGGGAACTTTAAGATGTGTGGACTTCAACTCCCAGAATGGGAACTGGCTGGGGAATTCTGGGAGCTGAAATCCACACATCTTAAAGTCCCCAAGGTTGAGAAACACTGATCTATACAATCAACGGCTTTGTGAAGCAAAGTGAAGTGAAGCAAAGGTAAACTTCTAATTCTCTTGCTGTCTCCATTATCTATTTTATGTTAATTAATTTATTTATTACATTTATAGGCTGCCCATCTGCCCCAGAGGGTGACTCTGGGTGGCTCACAATTAGAATAAAACCCCAAAACAGTTAAAAACATAAATATCCCCATTAATTTAGTTAAAAGGTTGAACTATATAAAAAGTCCATATACCTAAAAAGGCTAAAAACATTCAAGATGATGGGTGTGTGTGTGTGTGATAGAATCAATTACCCCACGAGCCAATTCCAATGGTGCGAGCCCCCATCTGGCCCCAGGCCATCTGGCATAGCCAAGATTTCACACGCTTCCTGAAGGCCATGAAAGTGGGGGCACATCGCACCTCGGGGGGTAAGTTGTTAATAATAATATACTCTTAGGACCCTCTGCCTTTTCTGAAACCTGTTCATTTGGCATTTTTCTTGTCCTGTATGGTTTTATTCTTCTTTGTAACATCTTTGTAACATCTTTGCTTGCTTGAAGAATGAGTGCTGCAAATCGGTTGGAGGGGAAGTCAGAATTAATTATTTACCTATACAGTGGTACCTTGGGTTACGAACACCTCTGCTAATGGACTTTTTGGGTTACGACCAGCTCTGGCCGCAAAAATTTACCTTGGTTTGCGAACTCCGCCTTGGAGTATGAACAGGATACGCGGCCATTTTCCCTCCCGTGACACGGTCTGCGGCCATTTTTCCGCCCCTGACACATGGTCCGCGGCCATTTTCTGCCCCTGACACGTGGTCCGCGGCCATTTTCTGCCCCTGACACGTGGTCCGCGGCCATTTTCCGCCCCTGACACG